CCTGCAGTCGGCATCATTGCCTCTGTTTTGTGAGGTGGAGGACTTTGTGGACTGGTGTTGGGTTAATGGGTTAATAATGTTGGACTTGTGGGCTTGGGCAGCATTGGGTTGGGATGTTTTCGTGATACACATTTTCTTTACATAAAACTCTTATACATGAGTTACTGTTTCTCCAAAGTACCCAGACATACACATGGCGACTGTTAAGTGGACAGTGGCCGTAGCAGGGCTTTACAGCTGCTTGCCCCAGATTTGGCTGTTTATCGGCGTGTCCCATAGCCCTTTCGTTTCTTCCTTCAGCTCACTGGTACCAAGGCCCTTGGCTGACTGAGGGTCCACCTCGGTCCCTGTCCCCCAGAGCTCAGGCTCTCACTGGGAGACGGCTGCCTGCAAACACCACCGTGTGTCTTGGGTGCCAGGGCTCTGTTGTGCAGGAGCCAGTGGGGCCACTGTGGATGGTGGGCTCCTTCTCCCAGGGCAGGAAGGTTGACGAGACAAAATGGTGTTAAGGAGCTGGGTGACCAAGAGCAGAGGGTGGGAGTGTGGGGGTGCGGACTCTAGTGCATGTGGGAGGCTGGGAGGCTCGTGGAAGCCAAGTTGGAGAGGCCTTGAGTGCCAGCCGAGCTGAGGGCTCAGGCTTCCTGGACAGGCCATGGCAGCGAGCCAGCTTCTGGGCCCAGGAGAGCAGCCTGACCGGCACCCTTCCCTCTCCCAGGTACCAGGGCAAAGAGGGCTGGGCGCCAGCCTCCTACCTGAAGAAGAGCAGTGGGGAGCCCTTACCCCCGAAGCTGGGCCCCGGCTTCCCAGCCCACTCGGGCGCCCTCGACCTGGACGGCATCTCCCGGCAGCAGAACGCGGCAGGCAGGGAGAAGGAGCTGCTCAACAACCAGAGGGACGGCCGGTTCGAAGGCCGCTCCGCCCCTGATGGCGACACGAAGCAGAGTGAGTGCTGCCCTCCTCCATGCGGAGGCCCCTGTGCAGAGCTGCTCACGTGGCGACCTTGCTGCCTGCTCAGCCCATGGAGAAAGGTCACCTGCCCGGGATCACCCAACCAGCAGGGGGTAGAGCCTGCATTGGGAGGTGTCCCTGCCCTACCCCAGGCTCATGTTCTCTCCTCCATCATCATGGTCACCTGTGTTCAGGCACTTGCCACCTGCAGGAGCCTTTTCGTTGTATGTGGTCTAAAAGCGTAGGACCTTGGTTTTAGAAATGAGGATGCTGAGCTGAAACAGGATTTGTGCAAAATCACTCAGCTAATAGATGGAGGAGCCAGCACATGAACCCCGGGCCTGCCTGCCTCCCTCCAGAGCCAGTTCTCCTGCTGCTCCACCACACTGCCTCATTTCTCAACCAGAGCAAGAAAAAGCTGGCCCTGTGTTGGATGTTCCCTAAGGATATTTCTATAGTCGTCTTGCTTTTCAAAGCATCCCCATACACCCGAGAGGGAGGTTCTTCTGTGAGGGCCTCAGACCCAGGACTCCAGCTGCAAGCCCCCTTTCAGGACCCCATCCTGTACAGGGGAGAGTGGGGGGCTCTGTTGGGAAAGGGCTCCCAGCTCCATGCTGGAACGCCAACACTTGCCCTTGGCTGGAAGTATGTCTGGTCAGTGAACTCCTGGAGTTCCGAGTCCTCAAACTCCAAGACTCACTCTGTCTAGTTTCCTGAGCACGCACCAGTGTTTTGATGGGCCACGGCCGGGGCTCTGGACAGCCCTGCGTTTCTGTGATTCTAATCGGTCATGGCCAAGTGCCTGGGAGGATTCCCGTGAAGACCAGGGGAGCAAGTGACACCCAGAAACCGTATGTTTTTGTGATGATACAGGTCTGATGATGTCACAGACCCTCATGCACGAGCACGCAGTAACAGTGGTCCCAGTGAGTTAGGTATTTATCTCTCTTTCATGAAGCAGTCCAGGCGTATGCCGGCCTCGTGGAGACTGCATCCACCCAGGTGTCGTGTTCCATGGTACCTGTCTGAACATGTGGATGCCCCTGCACTGTCCTCACCTGCCTGGTTCAGGGTGACACCTCTCTTCCAACTGCAAAAGAGGGTGCAGACGAGGCAGGAGGAAGAAAGTGGAGTGGAAGTTACCCACTGGCCCGAATGTAGTCACAGGGCCATACGTAGCTGCAAGGGAGTCTGGGAAACTTCATTTTTATTACAGGCAGCTAAGGGTCTGGCTGAAACTCTGTTGCTGTTGGTTATCATAGAGAGGGGTTTGCTTGTGCAGTCTCCTTCTCATCCCAAGTCCCAGGCTCCTCCCCTGAGCCCACTCTGCTCCACCGTCTGCCCAGAGTTGGCCTGCGCTTGCTGAGCGCCATCCTTGTGACCCTCAGGCCCACTCTTCAGAGTGAGAGTGCCTGAAGGCACCGCCCCGTGTGTGTTTGTGTCTGTTTGGTTAGGTCTTCATGAACCTGGGTGTGCTGTAGAGCCAAAACCAAAGTAGCCCAAGTGGCGTGCCCGCCAAGAGCCTCCAGGGGTTGACTTTCCTCTCCACCTCCCCGGGAGGCACTCGTGAGCCCTGTTTTACAGGGAGGGCCTGCTAGTACCCAGGGGTGTAAATAGCTTGTCCAAAGCTGGAAGCCGGAGAGCTTCCGGGCTGGGACCTTCTAGGAAGGACCCTCCTCTGTGTTCTGAGGCCTACACTTCGCTGTTCCTGGAAAGTTGATCATCTCTGGGCATTACCCACTTCCTGTTCTTCCGGCGTAGAAAAGACGGAGGTTTAGGGCAAAGCCACGTTGGTACAGAGTCACACAGGAGCAGCCCCTTCCTGTCCAAGCTCTTCTCCGAGGGAGGGGCACAGCCGCCTGCGAGGAGGGCCTGTGGTTGTACCTCATTTCCTGCAGAAGAGAATAGGTCTTGCCTGGTGCCCACCTTGAGGGTTTTCGCCATAGGATTCTGCATGTGAGTGAAATCCGGTCTTGTTTCTGCACAGGGTCCCCGAAGATGAGGCAGAGACCCCCTCCTCGCAGGGACATGACCATTGTAAGTGGACCCTTGCCCCTGGGGAACCAGCCACTGACCCGAGGGCTGGGGTATCCCAGGCTCATCTGCTCACCACAGCACCCCTTCTGTTCTTGTGAAGCAAGCTGGGCAAGTGTCAGTGAGGTGGCAAGGCGCATCCTGAGCTCAAGGCAGGTGGAGGCATTTCCCCTGCATCCCCTGGTGAATGTGTGCGCTCATCAGCTTTGAGAGCGGCCTCTCTACGGCCCAGGCCCCGTTTGCCGGAGGCAGCCTGAGGCCCAAGCTTGGATGGTGCAGAAATGGGCACCAATGTCACTTGTGCCCTCCTGTTGTTCTATTCTCTTACTCCGCTTTTTGTTCTTCATTCTCGAGGCACTCGATACTGATACTTTGAGAAATGGGCCTCTTTTAGATCTACTGTTTAATGAGCACCTATTGGATGCCAGGCAGTGGGCGAGATGCTGTGTGACATTAACTTCCTTTCTCGACCCCACCAGGCAGACACTGTCATCCTCCCTGCTCTACTGGAAAGAAAGCCGAGGCCCCAGTAGGGAGGGTGACCCGCCCATGGCCTCACAGTCACAAACCTCTCTTCTTCCTGTAACTCTCCCTGCCTCTAAAATTGAGAGAGTCCTGGCTTACCCCAGATTTTCATGACTGGCCAGATGTCCTGAGCTGCTTCTCATCACTGATGCTGAGAGACAGTGACCTGCTGCGGAGGTGACAGACTGAGCAATCTTTTGTCTTTTAGACCAAAGATAGTCCTCCCCCCAACCCCACCCCACCCCCCAAGGGCCATTGTGCATCCCAGCCCTCTTATCCCTGGCCCAGCAACATGGTCATGCACCCCCCACAGGACCTCTCTCTCTAACCCCACCAGCCTCGTGGTCTGAACCTGCCGAAACCTCCCATCCCACCCCAAGTGGAGGAAGAGTACTACACCATTGCCGAATTCCAGACGACTATCCCCGATGGGATCAGCTTCCAGGCAGGGCTGAAGGTCGAGGTGAGTAGACTCGTGCGTGCTTGTGAGCCGGGATGTGGAGCTGTGTGGGCTTGTGGCCCTGTACTTAGGATCCATGGTGCTAGGCGTCAGCTCCTGCTGCCATATTCTTTTCTGTTGGTTAGGATTTCATGCCATGTGATCCTCCTCCCACACACTCCACCCATTTACCCTGTGCTGCGCCAAGGCTTGCACCGAGCAGCCATCATCACAGTCCATTGTAGATCTTGTCACCCCCAAAATCCTGTACCCTTCACCCACAGCCCCCACCCCGAGCATCCTTTCATTCTCCCTGGCCCTAGGCAACCACAAGTCCACCTTCTGCCTCTCTTTTAAAAACTTTAAAAAGGAAACTCTCTGCCCTAGACCCTTTCGGACCCGGTAAAACTTCCCTGTGAGTTTCTGAAACCGTTGCTGTTGGTGGAAGTAGACAACCCCATCTGTCCCACTTGGAGTGGCTGGTGGTGTTGAACTGACCTTTCAAATTGCAGCCCAGTATGTAACCACTACGCCACCAGGGCTCCTGTTCTTAGACCCACCTATGTGGAGCAGTTTACTAAGTGGCATCATACGCTTTCTGGAATCTGTGGCTGACTTGTATTCTTTTTTTTGACTCGCCTCTTAACGTCCCTCCTTCTCTCTCCTTTCCTTCTTACTCTCTCTGCTCAGCTGTTCTGCTCTCTGAGTAAAAGCCAGCTTAAACCCTTTCTCATCTTTCATTTCCCTTTGTTCCCTCCTCATGAGGCCAGGACTGTAAGGTCTTTCCCATGCCTGTGCCTCTAGTAAATGGGGCCGCAGCAAAGTCCAAGGCTTGTAAGCCTTTGGCAAAGAGGTTCTGGAGACGGTCTTCAAAGACATGCTCTCCGAAGGATGCCACATGCTGGACCCACGACCTCATGGTACATTTGATGGAAATGTGAATGTGGGGTTTAGTTAGTAATCGTGTCTTATTTGGGTCACCATTTATAACAAATGCACCACAGTAATAAACATGCATACACCCTAAATTCAAACGCCCTACTATTGAGTCAATTCTGATTTACAGCAATCCTACATAGAAAATCTCCAAAACTGTAAATCTTTACAGGAACAGACAGCCTCATCTGTCTCCCGTGGAGCGACTGGTAGGTTTGAACCACTGACTTTGCAATTAGCATGCCAACATGTAACCCACAGTGACGCCAGGGGCAAATGGTAGATGTTAATCATAGGAGGACCTGTGCACAGCGGTGGTTGTGGTTGGGGTTCAAACTCATCTGCTTCATGGGAGAAAGATGAGGGCGGGTGTCTGCTGCTCATAACTAAAGATGTACTGCCGTGAGAGCCCAGTGGAACAGTGCTATTCTGCAAAAAGAGACAGCCAGTCCCTCCGCCCAGTGGGAGCGTGCACACAGGAGCTGAGCTGGGCAGCTTCTGGATTGGTTTCCGTACCAAATGTAGAACTTGGGAGCCACCGAACAGTACCATGTCTCTCTAACCCAAGCTCCACATTGCGTTCCCATCTTTCACCTTAGCGATCTACTTCCAAATGGTAACCAATGAGAGCTCAAGGGATCGCAGCAGACTAGTGTCTGATAGGGTGCTGGAAGTTGAATACCCTGGGCTGGAGGGCACTCAGAGCATCCCCTGGCAGCAGTGCTGCCTTCTCGTGTGTGTGAGATCGCATGTGCTGATCCTCGATAGCTACTAACCATGGCAAACTCTTCCCCTTATTATTCAAGTATTCTTTACAAACGAATACTGTACTCTCTTCAGCTTTGCTTCTTGATTCACTTTATTATCATCTCAGCCTACAGCGTTCATTCATGGAGCCACAACATGCTAGCACTGGAGCTCCCGGGAGCCCCTCAGTTCCTTGCCCGGTCTGGTCTCTGTCTTTCCAAGAAACAGTATACGGATGATGATGATACTTATAGGCATCTCTGAGGTGCCTGGTACCCGACTTTCTTGATAGCCAATCTTCACAGAAGTCACCAGGGCTCTATGTCATCACCCCAGTTTGCAGATGCCCTACGTGAGACCAGGAACTGTCAGGTGAATTGCCCAGGGTTATGTAGCTCCTAAGTGGATAGAGCTGAGAGCTGAACCTGGATTTCTTGGCTTAAAAGTCCAGGCTCTATTGACTTTTTTTCCCTTCAGGCTTGCGTCCAGTGTTACATACACCCTGTCACATCTCCCTTGTCACTGCCTCTGCCCATATCCCTTCCCCACTGTTCACTGGGACCCTGCTTTTATCCATAGCTGCTCTCCACTCCCGTGCTCCTCTCCCATCAGTCCTGACTAGGGGCACGCGTGTACTCTGCCGCGATGGGCGCTTAGCAGTGTTCGTTAGTGGCATTTCCTTTGGGTGCCTGTCCTGATTCCGTTTGCTCCCATATGTACTTGGTACTCTGGCTGAAGCTCACGGGCACACTGCCTGTGCCTTGTGTGCCTGGAGTCACGTTGGGTTGGCATCAAGCGGCCGTGGGCAAAGTATCTTACCCTCAAGTAAATGACTGATTTTAGCAGAGCCCTTTCCTAAGCGGGCCCAGGGAAACTCGTTAACTGCATGCTTCTGACGTTCAACCTGCCTCCACAGTGATTTCCCCCAGCATTGAGTAAACAGGTAACGGGCCCCTTCCAGAGTTTACCGGGCTGTTGCCCTCGTGAGTGCATTTGGTCATCTTACAAAAGCTCCAAGTGGATGTCCGTGTGCTGCTCCCCTGTGCCTGGTCCCCTCCTCCTGAGGGCTTCTTCCCTGTGTCACCCCTTGCAGGTGATCGAGAAGAACTTGAGTGGCTGGTGGTACATTCAGATTGAAGAGAAAGAGGGATGGGCCCCAGCCACCTTCATCGACAAATACAAGAAAACCAGCAACGCCTCACGACCCAACTTTCTGGCTCCCCTGCCCAACGAGGTGACCCAGCTCCGGCTCGGGGACACAGCCGCGCTGGAGAACAGCCCCAGCAGCGAAGCCCCCAGCCCCTCCCGGGCCCTGCCCAATGCACCGCATGGTGGTCTCGACCCCGGCGGGCCGTGGTCCCGGGACTGGAAAGGCGGCAAGGAGGTCCTGCGGAAGGTGTCTGCAGACATGTGTGCGGCCGCGGGCTACGAGGAGATCTCGGCCCTCGACCTGGAGGAGAAGCCCAGCCTCCCGCCCCGGAAGGAGTCGATCATCAAGTCGGAAGGGGAGCTGCAGGAGAGGGAGCGGCAGAGGCTGGAGCAGCTCCGGGGCTCTTCGCCCAAGCCTCCTGGCATGATCCTGCCGCTGACTCCAGCCAAGCACGCTCCCCCAGCCCGGGACAGTAGGAAGCCAGAACCTAAACCTGACAAAAGCAAGCTGTTGCAGCTGAAGAATGAGATGGGGCTGGAGTGTGGCCACAAGGTGCTGGCCAAGGAAGTCAAGAAGCCGAACCTCCGGCCCATCTCCAAGGCCAAAGCCGAGCCGCCCGAGGAGAAGCCAGAAGCCGGGCCCCAGAACCCCTTCTTAAAGTCCAGACCTCAGGTTAGGCCAAAACCAGCTCCTTCCCCCAAGACAGAGCCACCTCAGGGCGGAGACCAGCTGGATATCTGTAACCTCAGGAGTAAGCTCAGACCTGCCAAGTCTTCGTTGGATGGGGACAGCCACCAGGCAGCCGGGGGTCCAGATCTGGCTGTCACCCGCGGCCTGCCCCCCGGGGAGGGACCCGGCCGCACCCAGGAGAGGACAGGCAAACAAGACAAGCTCAGCCCCAAGGAGATGGCCTCCAGAGCCCCTCCCCTGCCAGCCAAGACGGTGGAGCTTGTAGCCAAGAGCTCCCCGGTCCCTCTCCAGGAGTCTTCCCAGCAGAGGCCTGCAGTCCCTCCCCGGAGGCCACCCCCACCCAAGAAAGCTGCCTCATCACCCCGGCCCCTCCCAGAGGTCAGTGGCCCACAGCGGGAGACCCCCGGGCGGGCCCTGCTCATCCCTCCGAAAGCAAGGCCTTTTCTCCCTAACTCCTCAGGGGGCCAGGATGACGTGAGAGGCAAAGGCGGGCAGGTCCCGCGGATGGCAGGCCGCATGGGTGAGAGCAGAGAGAGAGAGGGCCCGAAGGACTCCCTCTATGTGGCCGTGGCCAACTTTGAAGGCGACGAAGACACCAGCAGCTTCCAGGAAGGGACCGTGTTCGAAGTCCGAGAAAAGAACAGCAGCGGCTGGTGGTTCTGCCAGGTGCTGAGCGGGGCGCCTCCCTGGGCCGGGTGGATTCCTTCCAACTACCTGCGGAAGAAGCCATAACCGCCGCCTCGCTGCCCGGAGCCCTCGCCGGCTTCACCGAGTATTTAAGATGCTTCTTAATTTATCATCCTCCACGAAGCTCCAAGGGCAGGTGAGCTCGCTCTAGAGTGTCTGCCCATGGGGATGGCGACGTCCGTTCTTCGTGGAGAGTGAGTCCTTGAGACCTCAGAGCCTGGGTCAGGTCCTCCCGTACCACCACCCCGCCCCCCACTCATCACGGACCCCCTGGAAGCTCCAGTGGCCGCCTTGCTTTCTACTCAACCTCAGCATCCAAATCTGCAGAGAACTCCTACTCCCAGACTACGGCCTCACCGAGCCCCCTGCTCCTCTGCCTGTGGTGGGCTTTGACTCTGCAAGACCCTACTGCCAACCCCAGGAGCAGAGCCCACCATCAGGAGCTCCAGAGAGGGTCCCTCATGGCTCAGATGGGATGTGATAGGAAGCTGCCCTCCCTGGCACCCCACCCAGCCCTCGACGACGTTTGGCCCTCCTGGGCCCTCTCAAAAGCCCGGTGGCTTCATTGCTCCGTTCTGAAAAGCCTGGCTGCACAGGAGCGCTTGGTCCCGTAGAAGGCGGCACCGTCGTCAAACGCAGGGCAAGGGTCTTCTTCCCCAGACTTGAAGGAAGGGTCCATGGAGGCAGCTGCCCCAGGATTGGCCACTCGACCTTTTCTGTCCCTCCATCTAGTCTTGGGGCTGTCTGGGGTCTCAGAGGGCAGGCGGTTCCACTCATGTGAACACACCTCACATGCCTGCTACAAGTCCCAAGTCTGTCCTGGGGCTTTTAAATAAGCATCTCCCCATGGGGGTGGGGGCACTTCTGTCTCCCTAGTGTAAGAATCTCATTTATGTGAATAAGGGGACCCTTCACAAGCCATGCCCTGGCAGTGCCCCTTCAAGGAGTAGCTAGTACGTGCCAAATGCTGTGCTTGGCATCTTACCATCCCAGTCTAATGCAGTTAGACCCATTGTATGAGTGAGGAGGCTCAGGCACTGTGCATGCTCCCTGGTGGGAGGATTCGAACCCAAGTCTTCCTGGCTTCAGTTTCTGTTCTTCGCCCTGAAAAAGGCAAACCAGGCAGGGGAAAGTCAGAAGCTGCCAGGCACCAGGAAAACAGTGGCAAAGTAGCTTCCTTGTGTGGGCAAGAGGGCATCTTATGACTGCTTTTCACGCCTAGTACTTGTCCAACTCAATACTGCATGACACCTAAGGCCACCCTGGACTTGACAGGCCACTGCTCCGTCTTGGTGGGGCCTGCCAGGACCCTGATGGTTGGCACCAAGCCTTGTGCCCCACCCCTGTGCTAGTGTACCCTTAGGGGACAGATCTAGAGCAAAGGGGGCAGAGTTGGTCTCCCTCCCATGCCAACCTCATGGGAACGTGGTGGCTCAGGTGCACACAGCCATAGCACCATCAGAAGACACGGGGCCAGGTGCACACCTCGTCCCTTCCTGCCTCCTCTGTCTTCACTCTGACATTTACAGGTATAGAGTACTTGTCTTCTTTTCTCATGCACACCCCACCCCATCCTTCCGTCTTACACGCTAACAGAAACCCAGGACGGATTCCCACCCATTTGGGCAGATATGATTAACTGAGGCACAGCTAAGCCATAACAACTAGAACAAGTTTCTGGCACCCCTCCTGTAGACCAGGCTTCAGGGGGTGAATGTGAACCCTCCCCCGCCCCTCCAAGAGAAGAGGGGACTGATGGGGTGGCTCTGTGCTCATCCAGGTGGTGCTCAGGAGCCTCCGGGCTGCTGTTCCAGGGGACACGTGCTGTCCTGCCTGCAGTGCCAAAGATTTATGTGCAAAGGTTCCTTGTCTGACGACCTGATGCTATGGGGGCTCTGAATGCTTCTGAAGGAGAAAGATGGTCGCTGGTTCACATTAGCATCCTTATTCCCTGACCCCATGTGGCCAATAAATCCCATCTTCCCACAGTCTGAGGGCAGGACCCCAAGGTACCACTTACTCCATGCCTAGACCCTTCCCTGGGAGAAGAGAGGCTGGAGGCGGAGGGTGGCCACCCACCTGGTCAGAGTCCCCGCTCCTAATGCCTTGACTTAGGACAAGGCTCTGTAGCACGTTTTCTGTAGTCTTTTGGACCTCTGCTTTATACAGCTTTTGTGAAGCTTTTAGGGAAGATTGGGCTTCATTCCAAAGGACAAAACTAGTTACTAGGTTCTGTTTTTACCATCTGACATTGTGCGTCTTTTGGGAGGGCCTGGGTAGGTCTGGTGTGGGCCATTCCCTCCTGGCTGGGAGGAGCTGTGGCTCCCCTGAAGGAGTTCATCTTGTACCGTGGTCCCTCCTCCCCAGTGCCCGCTTTGAGCAGAACCTTTCCCTGAAAGTGAAAGAATGTAGTGTTTATTCTTCTGACATGAGGAATAGGTGCAGAACCTGCATCCTCTGCTCACTGCCCGGCCTTTGGGCCCAAGCCCTGGGCTGCGGACTCTGGTCAGCTCTGTGCGCCAAAGTGGTGGGTGCCACCTCAAGCACATGGAAGTGGGGGTACTTAAGAGCCAGTGGCTCTTTCTAGCTCTCCTGCATGGGGGACACTTGTTTACGCTGCCCACGATGGAGGTCACTCTGTGAGCCATTGGTGGAGTAGATAGAAAACCATGGCACTCTGAGCACGGAGAATGACTGGGCTGTTTGCTCCCATGCCAAGCACCGGGCAGGTCACCAGTGCTGGCGTATGCCCCCCCCCCCTTTTTTTTCCTTCCAATTTTACTGGGGGCTCTTATAATACATACATTGTGTCAAGCACCTCTGTACATATGTTGCCATCATAATTTTCTAAACATTTTCTTTCTACTTGAGCCCTTAGTATCAGCTCCTTCCCCTCCCTCATGAACCCTTGATAATTTATAATTTTTTGTCCTTTCAGCCACTTTTCTGTTGTCCACCCTCCTGGGAGAGGGTTACATGTTGATCATTGTGATCAGTTCCCTGTTTCTCCCCCCTCCTTCCTCTTACCCTCCTAGTGTGGCTACTCCAATTATTGGCCCTGAGGGGTTTATCTGTCCTGGATTCCCTGTGTTTCCAGCAGGGTTTGTAAGGTAGAAGTGGGGTCATGATAGTGGGGGGGAGGAAGCATTCAAGAACTAGAGGAAAGTCGTATGTTTCATCAGTGCTATACTGTATCCTGGCTTGTGTGATCTCTTAATTGGATCTTCATATCAGTCCTTCAGTGGATGGACAAATCCTGCTGGGGAAGTGAAGAAACAGAGACAGCATGCGCAGCCTCATCCAAATAAGGGCAAAGCTCCTGGCTCGCGTGTCTCTTAATTGGATCTTCCTATCAGTCCTTCAGTGGATGGACAAATCCTGCTGGGGAAGTGAAGAAACAGAGAGACAGCATGCGCAGCCTCGTCCAAATAAGGGCAAAGCTCCTGGCTCGCGTGTCTCTTAATTGGATCTTCATATCAGTCCTTCAGTGGATGGACAAATCCTGCTGGGGAAGTGAAGAAACTGACCCGCCCTGAGAGACAGCATGCGCAGCCTCGTCCAAATAGGGGCAAAGCTGGGATTCAAATCCCAGGATTTCGCCCCCTAACCCGTGACTCTTCCTCTATTATTGCTAGTGAAATGAGTTTGGAGGTCCCAGGAATCTGAGTTTGGATTTCTCCTCCCACTACCCTGTGGTCACACAAGTCAGTCGATGGAAAAATCACACCCAGGCCGCCAGGTAAGGGTGGTTTGTCTCTTCCTCTCGCCCCTGCCTCCACCTAGTGGTGTTGGCTTGGTCTTACCCTACATCCTTGGGTAACATGACAACTGTGTTCGCAGCTCTTTAAGAAGGCTGCTTTTTCAGGCCTTGGAGAAAGTAGGCTTTTCCTCATCTCTGCCCGTTTTGGTGGGCTTATGTCGTTGTGGGCTCCTGCTTGAGCCATTTCTGATCCCCCTACCTACTGGGGAATTTCTAGAGCCCCTACCGGGTGTTCAATAGACCTTTTAAGCCAACATGTAGTCAAGTGTTTTAAGGTAGAGTTCTTGGCCTTAAGACATTTCTGAGCCTACTGGGAAGTTCATTCCCAGGTGGGACGTGGGAGGGCTGATTTGCCACATCCAACAGCAGGTGCTGGGTCTCCCCAGAGCTTGGAAGGCCCCCAGGCCAAGGACTGGACAGCCTGGTATTTTTTCAGCTTCCACTGAGTGCCCAGCTGTGAGCGGAATCAAGAAACAAGCAAATAGGCATCCATCCTTAAAAAGCCAGCAACTTGACATCCTCAAACCCAGAGCGTTTGTGGCTTGGCACGAGTGCTGAGTGAGGCTGCCTGTTGGGGGTGGGGGGGTCGGTCCTTCGCTTTGGACCATGAGCATGGGCTGCCAAGTGGGCGATCTTGTCTCCCCAGCTGGGTTTCCATGCCATTCCTTTGGACTTCTGTGTCTGCTGCAATCCACCAGTCACACCATACACCAAAGATTACCTAGGGGCAGACCAGCCTCAACGAGTAGGAAATGTGCTTGCCCTGAGCCCCAGGGTGCAGGGCACACACACCCTAGGCCTGGAGCTGTTGCTCTTAACTTGGACATGGCCCCATGTCTAGGCCAGCTGCCATACACAGAGCCATGCATCAGGAGCTACCAGGTGAAAGGATGGCTCCACCTCCAGGGACATTTTTTACGGAGTCCCTCTCGCTTCCACAAGGTGATGTTTGGGTCTTGGTGCTACCCTGCCAAGTCACTGAGCCCCCTATCTGCACGCACGTTCTTTTTAACTTCCCTGTTTCTGTCATCTGCTCCAAAGTTGGCCTTTGTTCCAATGAGGGGCCAGAGGCTAATCCTCCATTGTCCTTGAAGAGGCCAAGTACAGGGCTACCACTGGGAGCCTTCCAGCAGATCTGCCACCCATGTCAAAAGGTGTCCCTGCCAGGCTCCTGCCAGCAATAAGGAGTTCTAACCCCCAATGTGTCTGTTTCACCCCGTGCTTGCCTGTCCCTGTCTTTGTTCTAGCGTCCTAATAGCAAGCGCCCCTTCCTGTCTTCAAGCAGCGGGGATGCATTATGGCCACCTTAACGACGGCCTGCTGGTCCTGCTTCAGGGAGCCACCAATTAGGCCGTGTCTTTCATCCCTCTGGAACCGCAGGCTGTGAGCCAGCAGCGCCCACACCCTCGTGGTTCGCTCCCAGGATGGCGCTGGGGATGCCCAGAGAACACAGATCTTGACACGTCTCGCACCCTCGTGGCAAACTGGCAAGTTCTGCCGGTGGTTTTGTTTCCTTTTAAACGAAAACATGAGTAGATGCAATGGAAGGGGGGAGGTGAGGGTGAGCGATTAGCTGTAGCATGTATATCTACCATTAAGATTTTGCCCTTTTTTAAAATAAAAAGTGGGCTTGACTGGTTTCAAGCTTCATCGTGAAGACATGTCTGTGGATTTTATTCAGCCAAGGAAAAGCGCGTGGTCTGGTGCCCTGAAATCAAGAGGCAGGATCAGGATCCTATGGGAGGGCTCATGGGATTTGACCAGAATTCAGGGTGACTCCTGTTGGGAGCCGTGGTCTGTCGTTCATTCAGGATATCCAAAGGCCCAGGGAAAGTTGTCCTTTGATCTGGTGGGCATTTCACACTTGATCTTGGTCATCTGCCTAAAAACCCAGAAAGCTTCCGATGCCCCAGGCTTCAGGAACCTGTCCTGGCTCTGCCTTCTGACAACTTGGGTCGGCGGTTCACAGTGGGGCTTCAGGGGCTCTGGAGTGCATTGCCCAGCAATGTTTCTTTCCTGAGAGCGGCGCCGGAGCCAAAACCCCCAACCTGGAGCCTCCTTGGTCCCAGGTGGCTCCTGAAGTAAAATGGCCCCACCATCCCTCTCCAGGGGAGCGCTGGGCACGATGGTTCAAGTGCTGGACTGTTAGCCAAAAGGTCCCAGTCAAACCCACCAGCTGCTCCACCGTAGAGAAGACTTGGTGATCAACTCCGGTAAATCCTGCATAGCCCAGGAGTGCCTCGGAGACGGTGCGGTCTTCACAGGAGGGTCAGAGTTGGGATACACTGGCCACCACACAACCACTACCCCACCTTTGTAGGGAGAGAATAGAAACAACCAGGTGTCCACACAGATTTCCACACTGCATCCTCCTTGGGAAAATGTCCTGCTGCAATCCTTGCTTCGGAATCACGGTCGTCATTACCTTAGTGGAGCCCCTCGATGGTGCAGACAGGCAAGGATGCTCTGCGCTGTCAACCAGAAGATTAGAAGTTGGAGTCTGGCTAGATCCGCTGTTCGCAACCTTTTAGGGTCAAATGACACTTTCACAGGGGTCACCTGATTCATAACAGTAATGAAAATAATTGTTGGGGGTCACCACCACATGAACTGTATGAAAGGGTCGTGTTGTTGGGAAGGTTGAGAACCACCGGGCTAGAGGCTCCTTGGAAGAAAGGCCTGGTGGTCTACTTCTGAACAGTTGGCCCTTGAGGACCTTAGGGAGCGTGCTCCCACTCCGTACTGAGACCGAATCCAGTCAACAGGAGCTGGTTTTATTTTTAAATAGTACTTGCTTCCCTATGAAGAAAAATTCATGTGGTTCAGACCCCAAAGAGCATTTTCTCCCAAGTCCTCTAAATCCAGAGTGCTTAGAAGAATACAACTGGCCTTTGCTTGGCATTCCCACTGAAAAGCTCCCAAGGCTTTAAGGGATGGAATGGGAACCAGGCTGCAGGGCCTTTCAACATGCCCCACCTCTTGCTCTAACTGGCACAACCACCTTTTCCATTCAGACTGTTTCAGTACTGTGCCACCAGACCTGTGCCAACCATCTTTCCCTCACACACACAAATACCGCTCTGCAAGGTGGAGTTTCTGGGTCCAAGGGTCTTGGGCTAGCGGTACACAGGCTAGTGCTTTCAGAGCCATTCCTCCTTTCATTGTCTGTGATGCTCCATTTTCCAGCCCAGTGTCACTAGTTCTCACACTGATGACCACAGGATTAGCCAAGCACATGCTTGTCCAAATGCAGGTCCCTTTGTGTCAGCCCCTGGAGCCTTAAATCCCTGTATTTCCAAAGAAGTGACCAGCATGAGCTGTCCAGAAACAGCCATTGCTCAGAAAAACATGTCATAGCTAATGGTACAGAGCATCATCTTTGAGCACGTAGTCTACTAAGAGAACAGTTTGGCTGTTCCTCAAGCGGGTAGGGCCCGAAGCGCAGGAATCTGCATTTTTGACAAGCAAGTGGTTGGCTAAAACTTGAGAACCTAAATAAATAAATAAATAAATAAATAAATAAAACTTGAGAACCAGTGAGTCGGAGGCATGAGTTGAAGGGTTGTGAAAAATCACGTATAACAGCTCTAGAATGTACAATCCCCCCAACTCAGCATTACCCAACGTGTATTGGCCAGAAGAGATGTCAACAGGTATTGACATCTGAAATAAATGTTCTGTGAACACGTTAACTTGGTAAATGCTAGGGTAGATAAAATTGGACAGTTTATTACAATGCTTTTTGGGATTATTTTTATATCTTAACCTGCAGTCCAACAGGGCATTTATTTACATTGAGTTCCCCAAATGTACTTGACCATAAAACTACTCTCGGAGCATTGAGTCTGAGCAGCATTTGATGTAATACATTCTGGAAATGTTAATGTTTAAATTTCCACACTAACTTGAATTCTATCTGAACCACAATCCTTACCTAACCTTAGCCTGATTTGTCACCCTAATTCCAGCTGTGATTCAAGCCCTTACTACAAGCTACCCTTAAGCTACCGTTAATGCCAACATTAACAGCCT